GAGCCATCAGACCACGCCGTTGGGCGCGCGCGCCCTCATCGGAGGCAAGGAGCAGGAGAGCGTGATGAGCGGGGAGCGGGGGCGGAAGGAGGCGCGGCAAACTCGAGAGGAGCCAGACAAGCACGGAGGCGTGTTGCTGCGGCGCACGCGGGGGACGGCAGCACAAGGCACGCAGCGAAAGACGCTAGCAGCCAAAACGACCACGGATGAGGGGGGAGAGTAGGAAAGGAGGAGGAGAAGGAGGAGGAGAAGGAGGAGGAGAAGAAGGAGAAGGAGGAAGAGGATGAGCACGAAGAAGAAGAAGAAGAAGAGGAGCCAAACTGACTACGGAAACGAATGGACATTGATGAGCGTCGAGGGCACACCCGCTGCCAGCCACGAACACGCAGCTCGGCCAAGCGATTCGCCACGCAACAAGCGAGTGCAGCGCGAAGGTCACGTCCTGCCACAAGACGGCGGCAAGCTCAGACGTTCGAGCCTGGCCGCCGCCGGCCGTGGCCGCCAGCATGCGAACCGTCGCCCGCGTACAATCCCCCAGGCGGCCCCCGAACTCGAGGACGCATGGGGAGATGTCGAGGCCCCCTCGCTTCTCCTCGTCCTCCTCCTCCTCCTCCTCCTCCTCCTCCTCTTCCTCCTCCTCCTCCTCCTTCTCCTCCTCCTCGATTCCTTGACTTTATAGATGAGTCCTCCCTGTCGCGCCCCGAGGCCATTCGAAAGGGCGCGACGGGTATTCCGCATGAGGCTTCCTCACCACTTATGCTTCTAATGCTAAAAAATGAGCAACAGGTTCACACATGAAAGGCGGGTGGTTTTCAAAATGTGACTGGCGCCGCGCACACTCGTTATAAGCATGTGCAAGAGTTTCACTGATTGAAGGCGGGCCGTTTTCAAAATGTGGCTCTCGCCTCGGTGCCGCGCACACTCGCTTTCAATAACTGCAAGAGTTTCACGGATTGAAGGCGGATGGTTTTCAAAAGATGGCTCTCGGCTTAGCGCTGCGCACATTCCTTTCAGAAAATTTGCAAGCCCTTCACGAATTGAGGGCGGGTCGTTTTGAATATGTGACTCTCGCCTTAGCGCCATGCACATTCGCTTTGAAAAAAACAACAGCTTCACTCATTCAGGGCGGGTGGTGTTCTAAATGTGGCTCTCGCCTGAGCGCCGCGCACATTATTGCTAAAGAGTTGCAAAGGTTTCACGGATTGAAGGCGGGTGGTTTTCAAAATCTGGTTCTCGCTTTAGCGCCTCGCGCATTCGTTGCAGGCATTTGCAAGAGTTCCACTGGTTCTCATGGTTAACGTGCAGAAATTGTGTCTTCGAACGGCTCAGGATTGTCAGGGCGCAACAGGTCCGATGATTCGCGGTGTTGAAGTCCTAGGACTGGTGTTCTTGCACGGTTCACAATCGCCAAGGCCTAACAATCATGTGAACCCGTGGCGTTGAAGTCCTGAGAATGGTTTTTGGGAACGCTTCCACATGTTCGCCCCGTTGCCCCTCAACGGGGCAATTCTCTCAGCGGAAAGGACCCCTTTAGGAGCCTGTGGCGAGGGATCTTGGAAGGAGGGTGTACTTCAACATCGTTGATGAGTCCTGGGTTTGCACTGGTCCTCCCTCCTCTTCCTCCTCCCCCTTATCCTCCTCCTCTTCCTCATCATCATCATCATCAGCATCATCATCATCATCATCATCATCATCATCATCATCATCCTCTTCCTCTTCCTCTTCCTCCTCCTCCTCCTCCTCCTCCTCCTCCTCCTCCTCCTCCTCCCCTCCTCCCGCTCCTACTCCCGACGCCTCCTCCTCCTCCTCCTCCCTCCTCCTCCTCCTCCCTCCTCCTCCCTCCTCCTCCCTCCATTCTTTTTCCCTATAGATACTTCCTCCCTGTCACACCCCGAGGCCAGGCGAAGGGGGGGCCCAGCGTTTCGCCCGAGACTTCCTCGCCACTTATGACCCGGATGCTCGAAAAGTGACAACAGCTTCACCGACGGAGGGCAGATGGCTTTCGAAATGTGGCTCTCGCCCTGGCGGCGCGCGCATTCGGAAAATGTGCGGGAGCTTCACGGATTGAGGGCGGGTCCAAATGTGGCTCTCGTCTCAGCGCCCGCCGCGCACATTCGTTCAACAATGCAAAAGCCTCACGGATTCAGGGCGGGTTGTTTTCAAAATGTGTCTGCCGTAGCGCCGCGCACACTCTTTGTAAACATGTACAAGAGCTTCACGGATTTAGGGCGGGTCGTTTTCAAAATGTGTCTCTCGCCTTAGCGCTGCGCACATTCAATCTGGAACTGCGCAAGAGTTTAGACGGATTGAGGTCGGGTGGTTTTCAAAATGTGGCTCTCGCCTCAGAGCCGCGCACACTCGTTGTACAGAGTTGCTCACGGATCGAAGGCGCGTAGTTTTCAACATGTGGTTCTCGCCTTAGCGCCGCGCGCATTCGTTTTTTAATATTTGTAAGAGTTTCACCGATGCTCATTGCTAACGTACCGGGGAGTGTGTTTTC